CTCTTTCAGACCATTTCACTTTGTTTTATGTCTCCATAATAGCCAAAACACAGAGATCATTGCTAGATCTGTTGCCAGCACTGGAAAATGACTCACAAAATGATCTAAATTAATAATCTAAATAAAGATTCACACCATATATGCTTATATGCAAGGACTCCAGTTAATAAGACTCATTTTACCGCACTACAAAAACATTGAAACATGTTGTTGTCTGTTAATTATGTAGCATCATTCTGTTTTGTTGGTTTATATATTGGTTGTCTTAAGGTGGAAAGTAATTCCAGAAATTATTTAATTTTTAAAAAATGCTGCCTTCAATGTCCTTTATACAATTTTTTGTCAGTTTTGATGTTTACTGTGATGTGTTTATATTAAATCAAATGATTGGTTTTCCTGCTTGATTGTCTTGTTTCGCTATCTAGACAATGAATTGAGTAATTAATTAACCCTGGCACATTACCGAGGCATACACTCTTACTGAACTGACCTGCTTGGTGGTGAATTAAAGTGCTGAAATGCGATGTGATGCACTTGTCTTCCCTCAAAATAGTCCAATATGTCTATTTTCCCTCTAGCAGTGATATACTTGTTCAGAGAGCTGCCGTGTCCTCTTGTGTTCACAGCAACCTGACCAGTTAATGACTTTATTTGACTTTATTGAATCAATTGTTCTCTTAATTGGCATGTATTTGATTGTACTCATTGAGGGCTTGTAAGTTGCCAATAAAAGCTGGAGGACTGCAGATCTTCAGGACCAGGAGTGAATGTCTGCTCTGTAGCAGTGATTTCCAGCTCCACCCCCAAGGGTTTAGGGTACAACGGGTTTTCTATGTTTCCTTACGTGACATTTCACTAGGGAGAACTGGTAAATGGAATCAGTGTTCAACTTGGCCAATATATCTCATCTCCTCAACCTTCACCTGTTGGAATTGGGAAGCCTGCTCTATAAGATAAAGCATCTAGATTAAGCTGGATAATGAATGGTTGAAATGGAATACAGTATTACTGTCCTTTTTATATATCAGGGCACAGACCATTCCCCACTGTTATGAAAATATTCCATCCAGATAAAGTGTACTGTTTGCTGGACATGAGTTTCATATGAGCCAGTAATAGGTTTATTCCATGCTGAAAAGAGAAGAAAGAAAACGGAACGTTTCGGCTGTGGAGCCTTCTTCAGGTGTGAGTTTCATATGTCCATGTATTAATTCCAAAGTGACTTTTTAGCTTGTGTTGTGAATGTGCTTGTAAAACCTTTTTGTTTTGAGTCTGGGTTCTGGGATTTCAATTTGTTTTTTTATGTAAATAAAAGTGAACTGTGCTTAATTCTTTGAAACAGTGTCCTCTTTTGAAGCTCATACTTTGCTTCACACTTTTATTTTGTATTATTAGTGTGGTGTCAAATCCCTGGAACATTGATCCTGTGTTATACAGTACTGACTCTGATTATGGGAGTGTGCGGGTGTTTTAGAGATTGTGGCTAAAGATGTTATTTCACATCAGTTGTACAGCTCTCGGCCCAGAGGGTCAGTCTTCATTCCATCAATGCCATTTTCACAGTTGTTCATCAGTTTTGATATTTTTTGTGATGCTTTTTTATATTAAGTCAAATGATAGGTTTTTCCTTGGTTTGATTGTCCTGTTTCACCATCTAAGCAATGAATTGAATGTTTAAGCTCCTAATTATTCAGTTCATTGTCTAGATCTCTGGTGTTTGAACTGAATAATTTGGCTCTTAATGACCTAAATTAGCTGGTTATTGGATAACAGGTTCAAGTTTTGAGACAAGTTCTCAGGTTCTTTAGGTAATACTACTGTAAACAGACTTAGCAAACCTGCAGACACGCTGGCTTTCCAGACAGGGCATATAATATTTGTTCATCCATACAACAGGGATGGGCAGTCCTGTTCCTTAAAGTCCAGTGTTTCTCCGGGTTTTCATTCCAACTCGGCTCTCATTGCCTTAATACGACCTGTTTTAACGGCTTCTCCAAGCCTTTCAGGGGCAGGTGCTAGAAATAGACTGGGAAAACCTGCAGATGTTTCACCCTCCTGGGATTAGGATTGCCAACATTTGATGTAAAGTAAAGCCTTTTTTTTTTTGTAATGCTAGTGTGGGACATATTTGAGTTAACATGTTCAGTGTTTTGTGTGTTGTAATTTGTTTGGTGTGAGTGAAGTTTTATTTAATCTGTGTCCCAGGAAAAAGGGTGGTGTGGACAGTTGAGGAGAGAATGCAGGCTCAAGCTGTGTCTGCTCTTCTTTTTCTTCTTTTTGCTTGGTCAGCTAGTTTTGTTTTTATCAGCAAAGTTTGATAATCGGCCAGTGAAAGCCCTGTTTTCCTTCACATGAATGCCTAAAACCCTAAACCGAACCCAGGATTTTACACTAGTGAAGATATAACAGCTGTTTCTTTCTCTCTACATTTAACATATTTTCCATTGCTGTAATTTTGTATCCACAGCAGAGAGTGTCTCAGTCAATTTGAGTCTTGTGGTTAAACAATCCCTTGCATTTCTATAGTGTTGTCGATAAAAGATTCCAAAGGATCACAAAGCCCTTTTCATACAGACAGGACTCATTTTATCCATAACTTAAGCACATGGCCTACCTAGGTGATATGTGGTAGCTTGAGTGTACAAGCAGCATCACTGCATAGCAGATGATGTAAAGTGGAAAAATTGTTTCACCTGTTTGAATTAATGGGGAATTTTACAGGAGCCAGATTGTGGATGTCCAGAATTTACCCAGGACACTGGGATTGACAACTATATTCATGGAAATGTTATGGGACCTTTAGTGTCAAGGTAATCTTGGTTTAACTGCTCTGACAGAGGACAGCACCTCATACAACACAGTAACCCACTGTCACCATACTGGAGCATTCAAATTCTTCTCTAGAGAGAATAGTACTGCTTTATCAGCACCGTTTACAGCTGAAACCTGGTTTTCTTTAGAAGTCTTCCATTCCAGTAAAGGCCAGGCCATGTATCCTCCCTGGACATTCAGCAGAAATTCATACGCAGGAAGCAAAGGACAACGACTTTTTTTGTACATGGAATGAATTACAAAGAAAATCAAAGTACAAAACAGGAAAATCAACCTCAGCAGAAGGAGATTACTGTCCTATATCCAAAAAGTAACGTAGTCTCATAAATAATTAAATATAATTAACATTTTCTTGAAGAAAGGGTATTTCAATTCAAAAAGATTTTACTGAATAGGATGTATTTTCAGGTCCTAACATGTTTATCTGTTTTTGCACTCAGCTTTGCTTTTTAGAGTGGAACATGTTGAATCTTTATCTAGCATAATTTAAAATGGGGCCTGCATGTATTGTCTTCAGAAAAGCCTGAAATACCTCTCTTGCATAAAAAAATCAACCTTGTAGAAAACTAGAATTGATAGTAAACACTCCTATTATATTCTCTATCGTCCCTCAATCTAACAATAATCCATACTCTTATTCTTGTATTTGTATTGGATTAATCATCGGCGGTGAGCTCATCCTGTTTTCATTTCAGCTTTCATAAAGCTCAGCTGATTACGACGTGTTTATTTTCTCCTTTGGCGACCTTTAATCTCCTCACGGATGACGTCATCTTTCGTTGTCAGGAGCAGTCGCATCCAGCGTCGCCCTGCAATGGAAGAAACACGGGAGCTGAGTTGTGTGAGCATCGTCACAAGACTTTTTGTTACCCCCGAGAAGATATTAAAATGTCCACGGGACCCAGGCTTCCACATTACCTCGAAATAAATTCTAGTCACCCAAATCGTGCGTCCTTTTACGAGCTACACGGAGTCGAAGATAGCAAATCAGACCTGTCAATACCGTCAGGTTAGTTGATATGAGAACTTGGGGGTATCCTCTGTCTTCTTTCGTCAGATATACTGTTTCCCAATAAAGTGTCTGGGGTTGCGTATTTTAGTAGTAGTTTTGGTTAGCTGCAGTATTTTAGTCCTGATTTCTTAAGTATAATATAAGCCGCTGATGAAAGGCCCGGTGTGCATCCAACATTTACTGAATGTTAGAGTAACTGTTTTAGATGTTATGGTACATTTTCATAATCATGTAACCGGGTTTACCAATGCATTTCAATTTTAGTGTTACTGTAAATAAATTAAGTCTGTTGGTGTTCTCTTCGAATTTCTTCCAAGTTGTGAAAGGAGCTTGAATGTCTCCCCACGGTAATTCGATCTCTGATCTCTGGTTCAGGGATGATTAATGAATTGGCTCACGTTTGTTACCCAAAGCGCGTTTACGCTCATGGAGTCAGGACAACAGGGTCGTCTTGTGTGAGTCAGAAAAACCTTCTGGGCTTGGAGAGAAATATTTCGGCATGGCGTGACCTGACTGTAGTTTGAGTGCTGGGTTTGTAGCTGGACAGACTCGGCTTGTGTGGAGTCTGTGTGCGAGGGTGTTCTGTGGCAGTTCCGGTTGCCTTTCACCTACCAAAGGCTGGGTTGATCGGTGTCATCAGTCATGACAGGTGGTGACATCATGCGCTGGACTTGCCTGTCTGGCACCCTGTGTTTCCAGACTGTCATAATGCTTAGACCCATACCAGGAATAAGTAGCTTTCTGATGATGGGTGAATATGGCACAATGATCTGACCAACCCCAGGGGATACACAAAGCAGATGGAAAGGGTTTTGTTGGAAGACAAACACATTTTGCTTTCTAAATCAGGATGGAGCAACTGCAATGTTGCAGAGTCCACTTGTTTTCATTACATCAGTGATCCTAGTGACTTCGTTGAAGTAATCATTTGGATAGAAGTCAGATTGCCTTTTTTCTGAGGTCTTAGTGCCTTGTTGAAAACTACCTGTAAAACATTTCGGATTCTAGCCCTGGAATTGTCCAGTGTCTTTAAATGGCAGATGCAAAGCAAAAAGGCTGCTGAGAAGAAAAATAAACTGAAAATGAAGTACCATACAGCCATACTTTGTTGGAAACAATTGATTGATTAATGTCCAATAAATTATAGTTCATTGAAGGTATACTAATAGCTATTCAGTCATCCTGTTCAGTTCTGAAACAGTACTTGTACAGTGAAGAGATATTTCACTTTCTTTATTGTGATGGTAAACTGGCATCATTTAAAGAGAAATGTGATACACTTGTGTGAAATCTAAGCAGATACGGTATTTGGTTTGAATATGAATGAGTGCATCTTACAGTCCTTACAATCAACAATTAACGGTTGCTGAAATCTTGCTGTTTATTTCTCCCCAGGTGAGTCAGCTCTTGGTGTAAGAGGTTGGCACTGAGAGTCCAGCCTGTATTGTTGGACGCAGCCAGAAGTCTCTGCTAGGAGAAGTCACAGCCAAAGGTCGGGGGTGGCCAAGCCCACAATCCGATTACACAATGTTCCAGAGCACTGAGCCTGCTGACAGGCCTCCCCTGTCTGCAGTCCTGGAGCCATCTCAGAGGATCAGTGTCCTCGCTGAGGAAGGCTCTAATCTCCCCAGGCAGTCTCATCCAACCACACAGAGGCATCGGCCGGATACTTCTTCCAGCACAGGGACCGAGCAGGTGAGCCGTGATTTCAGAATCGCTCTTTGCCTGTGTGGGCCTGTCACTTTAAATCACAGCTTCCAGCATTGAAGCTGCACGTTGTCTTAAAGTGAATGTTGTAACACCTTTGAAAACCAACCTTAGGTAATTTAGGACAGATTGCATTTGTTCTTTTTACTTTCTTTAATGGTTTGCAAAAAAACAGGTTCCCATTGTGTTTTTTTAGAAGCAGTGAGTAGCTGGTTATAATCTTGCGACACAATGCCACTTGTTTTATGAGATTTATCTCAATGGACATTTTGTTCCCAAGTTATAAAATTCTCCCACATCCCCGGCTGGAAAGGTAATTTACCTGCTGACTGTGCTGTACATGATGTATACAGATGTTCATACTGTATAGATGTATATGTGAGTCAGTTGCAGAGGAATTTAAGTTTAAGTTTTTTTATCTAACTCTTGTCACAAGAAAATAAAAATACAATGCACTTTAGTTATATGTGTAATGAAATTGAAAATTGTGTTTTGTCAGTGTTATAATGTGTGCAGTTTTATTTAATGGAATGAAAGTTGGTATTTAGCATTTGAGCCTTAATTTGACCTTGACTCACCAGGATGTCTTTAGGTTTTTATGTAGGGGTAACCCCTGGGTGGTGCTAGCAAGCCAGGAGATTCTTCATTCAGACACACTGCTCCTCAAAACAGTACAGTCTGCATTATAACAGAAGTCAAATTAAAGTTTTCCTGCCTTCCCACTCGAATTATATATAAAATATGTATTAGCACTGTGTTATTTTAATCAAGGGTTGCACCTTGGTTAGTTTTGCTGCTTTGAAGCGCTGAGGCCCCCAGTTCAATTCTTAAGGTGCTGTCTGCATTGTGCATTTTTGTGATTGTGTCCGTGTGTCTGCCTTGCGATGGACTGGCACCCTGTTCCGGGGTGTACCCTGCCTTGCGCTGGGATGGGCTCGGTTGTTTGGATACAGTAGTTAGAAAATGGGTGGATAGTTCAATCGAGGGAACAGAAGACACAGATCATCTTTGGCAGCATACAAAGTCATGCTGTTACAATTGTAAACATTTATGGTACAGTACATACAGCACAGATGTTTAGCTATTATCAACGTGTTGTGCAGTGAACTGGAATCATGAAGCATATTTCTTGGTTTGCTTTCTGTGTTTGTCAAGGATTTTAAAACAATGATCAAGACATTCATTGTTTCAAATGTGCTGAGTAAATTGTCAGTGCTGGGCGAATAATGCCTTGCTTTGTAAAGCTATGGTTTTTCTGTTACAAGACGTGCCCCGGGATATTCTCAAGATCATTCTGAACTGCCTCTTCAAACTGCTGCAGTATTGTGTAGCTCAGAAGACTGTGGTGTCTTTTAAATTATTAAAACCTTTGCTGAAACTCTAGATTCAGTTTGTTATCAGATGGGAGCTTGACCGTACCCTGAGTACAAGGTATGTATTTTTCTCCGTGTGTTTTAAAGTATGTTTGGGGTATAAGAACAATGTGCCTTTATCTTTTTTAATGCAGTACACAGAGTAAATGCTGATAAACGGTTTTGAAAATAATCTTTTTCAGCTGTGCTTTTTTGTTTTAAAACTGACGAAAATCAGTGTAGGTTCTACCTGCCTTGTTGTACAAAGCTCGTTGTGATACATTTTAAATAAATGTGTAAAATTACAAATGTTATTTTGAAAAGTTTAATTGTGTAGCTTTTCTTCCTATTGGCTGACTTCATTAAGAATCTCAAGAAACTGCAACACCAGTATTCATGACGTCAGGAAGTGTTTGACTCTCTATTTGAATATACTAATTACTCATTGTGAATGTACTTCCATATATAAAAAAACAAAATAAGATCCTCTTAAACTGGTTTGTGCACCAAGTTAAGTTTAGTGCGTACACGTGGTGTAAGATTTGCTTTGCCACCTTCAGAGCAAGTTCCTTGCTAAGCTGCACTAAAACATGTTCAGTACCAGACAACCTCTTGTGATTTGAGACGAGCCCAGTCCTCCAGCTATTTAGTTACTAAGTATTTCCTGACATCTCCCCATTGTTGGAAGCTGTTGATTCAAGATGGCTGCTGTGCTCTGGTGTTGGCTGAGGTGAATTGGCTCCTGCCTGCTATGGATTTGAAAAGAAGGAATACCTTTAACAGCAGTGTTTTGGTTGCTCTTCACACAGACCATGGCGGCTGCAGACCAGGCAGAAACCTCCCCGTCTTCTTCCGGTTCATTTGAAATCATTGACATCGATGCTGTGCAGTCCCTCTATGAGCCAGTCCAGCCTCACTGGTTTTACTCCAAGCAAAAGGACTCCAAAGACACTTGGCTTCCGTTCAGCAGAGAGGATTCAAAGAAACTAGAAGAAGCGTACAGCCTGGGTAAGTAGCTGTTAGGAGTTTTGAGCAAAGATTTCTGACTGGGAAAGTTAGCATTATTAAGGAAACCAATTACTAACTAAATTATTAACTAAAGTATGACCACTTGTGATCACCACCCTGAAGCTGTAGTGAGTCAGAATCCTACAGCTGAGCGTCTGCAACATTCAGGGCTTTGACTGTTACACACTGGTGCATGGGCTTTCATGCATTTGTACATTGTGCGATGCTTTACACACAATGCATTTGTGCCAAATGTTGAATATGTCAGTGGAATTTATCACTGTTAGCAAAAATGCTATGTACACTATAAAGAGAAGGAGCAATTGTAGGTGTATGTCAGAGAAAAATCTCATGAAATCTATGGCGCAGGTTTGAAAATACGTCTGTAGTGATTATTTTTTTATATTACTTTGATTACTTTTTTGATTTTTTTCATTTAAAGCATTATTACATCAAATGTACAAAGCTGCTTTTCCTCTTTTGGAAGGTAAAGTGGTCATTTTTGACACGTAGGCTTTTTGTTTTCAGTCATAAAGTAGGACACACCGTTTTTAACCACCATTTCTTTTTGAAGTGTTTTTTTTTTTGGTGAGTGAGGTTCACTTGCTGTGGGGTTCCGAGTGCTGGGATTCCTCAGGAAATGGTTGCAGTTTGTATGATTTGTGTTTTAACTCGAGTCGGTTCAGCCGGAGCGGCGAGGTTTTTCTCGTCCCCGCGCTTGCTCGCTCGCTTGCTCGCGGGTCTCCAGCGCTGCTGCTGACTCGCTGCCTGCTGTTGGTCCTCGGTCCAGGCGAGAAGACGGGGGACGTGGTGGTGGCCACGGAGGGCGGGCGGTACGACGTGCGCCTGGCCGACAGGATGCGCTTTGCGGTGTTTTGGGAGCAGGCCCCCTCCGAGGTCAGACGCTGCACCTGGTTCTACAAGAGCGACAAGGACAGCTGCTACGTCCCCTACCCTGAGGAATTCAGCGAACGCCTAGAGGTCAGCTCTTTTAAACTGGCCGTTTTTAATGACACTTCCTCTCTTTCAGCACAGCAGCTGGATCTTTTTGGCTGTAATTAGTTTTTTTATTTCTCTTTGCCTGCAATGTTTTTTATTATCTTCCCTAATACGTTTGTTAGCCATCTGTAAAGGGAGCCTCCTACGAATCTCTCAGTGCCGCGGGTGGGTGTTGATTAGTGAGAGACGTCGAGGCTGCAGGGTCACGACTATCCTGTGTTTCAACAGGAGACATACATGATCGCCGTGACGCTGGATGAGTGGAAGAGGAGGCTTGAGTTTCCCTCCGGCGAAACTGTCATTTTACACAACCCGAAGGTAGGAAGGCTTCTCAAAGGTGCTGCAAGGTTGTGGGGGAACTCTTGTCTCTTCCAGTCTGAACCTTTCAACCATCAACGCCAGCTGCAGCTCCTTCAAGTGGGAAGAAGAGGGGAACCTTATTTGAAACTAAGAACAGGAGGTGTTTCTTTACACAGAGTGTAGAGGGAGTGTGGAGCCAGCTGCCCAGCCATGTTGTTGAAGCAGATAGCCTGTCTTCTTTCAGGAAACAGCTAAATGACATCGTTGGATAAATTAACTACTAAAAATCCAAATGTGGTAGATGGACCAGATGGTCTCCTCTCATTTATAACCCTTTTTTATGTTCTCATTTGCTTCTTTCCTGTACCACACCACTTGTAGCAGCAAGGTGACATTCCTTGGATAACTTTTGCCAGTCCTGACCAGGCCTGTATGGCGTTATAGTTACTGCTACTGGTGTTATGCAACAGTAAACTTAACAGGCCTTTGTGACGTATAACACTCAATGATGAGATTAGCTGCTGTGTTTTCCTGCCTCTAGCTGATAATGCAGTACCAGCCTATCATGGCCCAAGATGAATGGGTGTCCTCGCCCTCAGAGCACACACGGCCAAGGACAGTGAAGCGGGGCATCGAGAACATATCGGTCGAAATTCCTGAAGGTCAGTTTCTCCGATTTTCACCAGCTTTGAAGGTTGCTAATGGGTAGCATATTATAAAGGTGTTTTGCTTTCCCTATGTGTTAAGCCCAATGTGTGTTGGAAAAAAGCAGAGCCCACTATGATCACGTCAGCTCTTGTGGTGGAGGTCTGAATGTCACATCAGGCTGTAGTCAAATGTGTGTATAGACTCTGCTAGCAATAGCAGCAACCCGTTCTGTGTTAAAGTTGTCTTTCCTCTCCTACAGGGGAACCCGAACAGGTGGACCATTTAGTTTTCATGGTCCACGGGATTGGGCCTGCTTGTGACCTTCGTTTCAGAAGCATTGTTCAGTGTGGTATGTACTTTCACTGTGTCACCGCACACCTTCGAGTTCATGTCAGGTGTTTTACTGTACTTTTATTGATGATTGATTTTGTTTTGTGGCCTTTTCTCCCTTGCTGTGGAGAATCATATGAAGCTAGGGATATCCTTATGATAAGCTAGTCCTAGGAAATGGAATCTTCTAAAATATATATTGTGCTGTATATGGATCGATTTCAGATCAGAAATGTAGCAAATGCTATAGGTTTCAGTTCTCATTTGTTGAATTTTTAATGACTCTCTTTATATATAATCGTTTTTTCATACAAAATGTGCAAACCGTGCACGGCATCCCGTTCATGTTAACATTCCCCTTCCTGATTGACTGCTTCTGGACATTAGGCCACTGTGTATGCCTGTGAGGAACAGACGTCAGCCCTTTTGAATGTCATTGTCATAAACCTTATATGCAAAACAGGAAATGGAAGAGCAGCTACTGTACTTCTGAAAAACACTTTGGTTAATGTTGACACATAACTCGTGTACATCTTCCAGACCATGTGAGGAAGCTTGCTGGGATATAAAGCAAGGAGAGTATAATTCAAATTAAGGTATATTAAGTTAAATTGGTGTAATGGTGTAGTCAGAGCTCATTACGAATACTGTGTACAGTTCTGGTCACCACAATATACTAAAGATATTGCTGCTCTGGAATCAATCCGTAGAAGAGCAAGCAGTAAGATACTTTCTGGGGTTTCATGGAATGTCCTACACTAACAGACTGAAGGAAATGAACCTTTTCAGTCTTGAACAGAAAAGACCACAAAGGGACCGAATGCAAGTATTCAAAAGTCTCATGGGAATTGACAGAGCCAACCCAGAGGACTTCTTCAAGATGAACAATGAAGTATGAACCAGTGGACTCTAGTGAAAGCTACATGGGAAAATCAAGAAGAAGTGGCACTTCACTATCCAACAAGCTGTGTTTGAAGCCTTGAAGTACATTAACTCACTTTACATTAGCTTTAACTTTCAAGAAATCACCTAATTAAATCCTTAGATCAATAAGATAGTAACTCCCAAACGGGCCAGATGGACTGAATGACCCACTCCTCTTGTTTGTAATCTTTTTAAAAAGTGTTTTATTGCTGAGGTGTCTGTTTACCTGTGTCCATTTCTGTCTTTCTAGTGAATGATTTTAGGAGTGCGTCACTGAGCTTGCTCCACACCCACTTCAAGAAGGCTCAGGAGGAAAAGAATATTGGTCGGGTAGAGTTCCTTCCTGTCAACTGGCACAGTGCCCTCCACGCAGATGCCACTGGAGTGGATAAGTAAGGAGACAGCCTCTAGCACTGCCCCAACACTGCTTCCATTTCAACATGGCCGATTATCGGGACACCTCATACAGTTCCGGTTTCTCCAGGTTCCTGTGAATTAGGAATGTGTTGAAAAATAATTTAAAACAAATTAAATTATTCCATTTGAGTCAAACTTGTCTTGTGCCAACAGGATTGTTTTCTTCATTTTTTCCTTGTCTTTTAGTGTATTAATTGAGTGTACTGTATATCACCATAAACTTGTAAGCAGGTAGTCGCTTTTAGCAATGAATACTTTGTAATGTTAATTGAAGTTAAATTAGACAGTTTTGGGGGGTTACTAAACCTGATGTGCATCATATGAGGCTTGTCTTGCCTGTGGGCTTTTGTTCCACATCTGGTCTTAACCTGTTTGATAGTTTCAGAGGTCTTCAGTTTTCCTGATTTAAAAAATGTTAGAGAACGTGCTGGACTCTGGCCTTCAAGGACTAGAGTTGTGTGTTGTACTTACGTTACGGATCCATATTGACATTGACTTGGGTTTTATTCCTGAGAAACAGCTTGACTGTGTTAAATTTATGTTCCAGGAAAACTTATTCTTAGCTTGCAAAGTTCAGTTTTTATCATTGCGATCCCTTCCAACAATAATACCCCGTACAAGGTATTTGCAGTAAAGACTGCAAAACCCCCTATACAGATGCTGTGCATGTTTTGAATTAAAGCAATGGGTGTGTCTGTCTTTGCATGTGCTGCCCCACAGAGATATCCAGAAGATCACGCTGCCCAGTATCAGCAGGCTGCGCCACTTCACCAACGACACCCTGCTGGACCTCTTCTTCTACAACAGCCCCACCTACTGTCAGACCATCGTGGACACGGTGGCCTCCGAGGTCAACCGGCTGTACAGTCTGTTCCTCAAGAGGAACCCCCAGTTCCAAGGAGCCGTCTCCGTGGCCGGACACAGCCTTGGTCAGTCCCAGCTGTCCTGGGTGTCGCAGTTTCCCGTGAGATAGAGAGATACTTTATTGATCCCGTGAGGGAAATTGCAATGAGAGTGAGAAACAAAAAACACCTAATGTCACAGAATCCAAGAAAGTATTGCACTAACAGACACAGTGAACATGGCCTGTTTCTTTATCTTTTTAAGCTCATTTTGATCGATGTTTCATCTTTCAGTGTGCTGATTTCTGACTTGTCTGGAATATAATTGCCTGTCGTGTAATTGCACTGAAACACTGAAAAGAAGCCTAAAGGAGCAGATAAATGGCTTATGATGAATATAAATACAGGGTTTGTACTTGGAATGAATAGGATTGAGTATTTGTTGAAAACTATTGTGCCAGTTGTAACCTTCTGAAAGGTGAACCTTGTTTTTTATTTCAATATTGTCATGTCCAGGCTCCCTTATCCTCTTTGATCTGCTGACGAATCAAAAGAGTAACCAAGACAACACTAAGCCAGCAGAGGTACTGTATTTGGAAGATTCCTTTTTTCATTAAAGGAAATCAAACAGAATGTTGCACCAACATTGAGACACCTTAGTTTAGTCCTGCTGTCTACAATTTATGTTTCTAATGACAGTTTTGCAACTCAAATGAGACATAAAACATTTTCCACTGCACGCGACAATTGCTTTGAGAAATATATGTGTAAATGAGTTCTTCGGAACCTGTGAAGAACATTTTAAAATTTGTCATTATGATAGGGCTTCCGAGGAGGAATCAGTTTAATAGATTTGTCATTATACAGCATGTGACCAAAGAGAAGAAATGGAATCCAGTAAACCTGAAACTGAATTGCTTTAATTATATAAAATAGCATTGCCAATGTCTCCTCAATGCTAAATGGATTTGTCTAGGATTAGAGCTCCATCTAGTGACAGACAGGTGGTGGAGGTATTTAATTTAAGAGATAATAATAATTGCTTAGACTTATATAGCGCTTTTCTGGACACTCCACTCAAAGCGCTTTACAGGTAATGGGGACTCCCTTTCACCACCACTAGTGTGCAGCATCCACCCGGATGATGCAACGGCAGCCATAGTGCGCCAGAACGCTCATCACACACCAGCTATTGGTGGGGAGGGGAGCAGAGTAATGAACCCAATTATTAGAGGGGGATTATTAGGAGGCCATGATTGGTAAGGGCCAATGGGAAATTTGGCCAGGACGCCAGGGTTACACCTCCACTCTTTTCGAGAAACACCCTGGGATATTTAATGACCACAGAGAGTCAGGACCTCGGTTTTACGTCTCATCCGAAGGTCAGTGCCTGTTTACTACAGTATAGTGTCCCCATCACTATACTGGGGCATTAGGACCCACATGGACTCGGTGAGCGCCCCTAGCTGGCCCCACTAACACCCCTTCCAGCAGCAACCTTAGTTTTTTCCGGGAGGTCTCCCATCCAGGTACTGACCAGGTACTGACCAGGCTCATACCTGCTGAGCTTCAGTGGGTTGCCAGTTGTGAGTTGCAGGGTGATATGGCTGCTGATGTGCATTGTTGTACTGTAGTTATCAAGAATGAGAGTGTTAACATTACCATTCGTTTCATTTAATGGAAAAAGTCAGATCTTAAACTGTGAAATATTCAGATAATTTCTAAACCTTTAGGAATTACTTTTTATTTTTCATTTTTCTTGCAAAAGGAATTTGACCCTAAAGTAATTCCTTCAATTGTTTTTTGAATTCAGTATTGCTGCCTGGTTTTTAGAACAGTGCCTTTGAAGTTAGTATCTGCAAAGGAAGTGAATAGTATACCTGAGTAATGAGTTGCATTGTTTTTTTATACATGCAGTGGAAAATAATGCTCAGTAAAATGAAAAAAGCTTAACAGTAGACTGAATGATAAATGTGAATAAATGTGGTTTTAATTTTAGAAAATACCAATAAGTAATCAACTTCTAAATCTGCACACTATGAATATGCACCCTGTGTTTCAATGGAGCTGAATCCTGTGTCCTCTCTGAGACCAGGCTGTGGTTTGCTGTCCGATAAATCTTAAATAAGTGTTGTTTTGTCTTGTGTTTTAAGTTGTCACAATGCAAAGCAAGAAATGCCTCTGTCAGAGGGGATGTTCAGAGCCTAGAAGAAGCCTTGGAGAAAATGGGGTTGGGAGATTATATCAGTGTGTTTAAAAAAGAAGAGCTTGACGTTGAATCTCTGGTAAGTGTCTGCAGATGTCTTTTTTTGGTTGAGATGCATAAGGCCTGACATTTCCACTGGCGCTGGTCTTCTTGAGCACTGCATGGCATTTAACTCATCTTTAGGTTAATTAAGCCTTAACGGATACTTTTTTTTAATTTGCAGATGATGAGTTTTGAAAAGGGCATTCAGACTAGCTCTGATTAAAAGTATAAAAAATGAATTATCATGAGACAATTTACTGTATGTGAGGACTCTCTTTCATTAGCTTTAACAAGTTTTATAGAAAAAAAAAACGCTTCAAGACAAAGGAGGCAATGTGTCAGCTGTCACCCTGCACAAGGCGTGAAAGTAAATAACACTTTTACAACTGAAAATCTGGAAACAACTATATTGTTCCAAACAGAAATTCAAGGCAGTGAAACAAACAGTAGATTGACAGAGGAAGTAAAAAAGAGTACTCAACACCTAATTAAAATAATATGTTTACAAAATGCTGCTGGAAATTCAATTTGTTTGCTTAGTATGATTTGTTTTGCTTTCTTTACTTGTGTTGCAGTTCTGCGTAGGGAAGTTCAGTAAGGCTGTTAATGGTTATTAGACGTGGCTGATGAGGACACTGTTTGCTTCTTCCTGTTTCCTTTGGTACTTTAGGCCCTGTGCACAGAGAGGGACTTGATGGAAATGGGAGTCCCTCTTGGACCCAGAAAGAAAATTCTGAGCTTCATGAAGAAGAGAGAGATCCTGCAGGTTTGATAACACAGTCTTCCTAACGCTTATAACAGTACTGGACAATAAAAATATAATTCACATACAGCACTCCGCATCAGTTATGTTGTTGTACTAAACAAATTAGTTCTCTGAACTGTTGTCTTCTAAATTCAGCAGTTGTAGCTGGAAGAGTTTTCATTTGTGTTCTGTTTCTAATTTCACACATCTTATTGAAGTTACAGATTAGGAAAGGATACTATTGCAGTGTCAAATGTGCCCAAAACACTCAGTTTCTATTTGTAGATCTCAGTTTGTTAAATATCTATTTAATACTATCCATTTTAATTCTGAAACATGTAGTTAATATTACCCTCACACAATAGAGATAAGGAGTGAATATATATTGTTAAAAAAGGGGAGGTTATAAAAATGGAAAAAATGAGAAAATGACCGAACAGATTAATCAGTAAAATAAATCATAACCCACAACTTAAAGATCATAACCCACAAACGTAAAGATTTTGGCCATGAATATACCCAAGCGGTTGTTGTAGTTAGAGGCACACAAATTCTTTATTTTCTGGCAAAGCTTTGGTGAAACTTCGTTAAAATATTTATTAAGACTAATAGTACACACTAAACAGACCAGAAACACAAACATGCAACCAAAGTTACACTATGTAAAGATTTACAAATGAGGTGTCCCAGAGGTCTAATGTCCTAACTGCCCAGAAAAATCAGAAAAAAAAATCAATCTCTTATATAATGCCCACAAAGGCCCAAAGAAGAAATACCTTCTGAACTAACCAGAATACAACCTACAGATGAATCATTCTCTCTGTAAACCCGCATGCCATTAACCATTTTAACGGAGAGATTCTTTACACAGGAAATCAGAGTTCCCTAGACCTGTAGAATAGCAAGCTCTCTTAACAAGGTTGATATACTTGGCTCCAATCTGGTCTTAAAGGGATACATGGAACAAAGAGCTCCCATCTTCTATATCTTCCTTTCTCCCCTTCACTCTGCCTCACCATCCTCATATATAGAATCTATCTGGGCTGTTGATTGACATTTAAACATTTACTGACCACATATTTAACCAAGGTTAATCAAGGTAAACTTTAAGATTGCTTTGATCACTCTATCTGGACTCCCTGCATGTCAGCCAAATATCCCTTTGCTTTGAAGCTGGAAATGTTGATACTTGTCAGGTGTTACCCATTGTATCTGGATTCTTCGAGACACTTCCTTAGACACCTATAGCTATAACAATATACTCTATAAAGATATTGTAGCCATATGCCATTTCTCTGCCTCTGCCTGCAGGAATGTAGAGCAGGACCTGCACACCTTGCACATGGTCTTCATGGGGCCAAAGACAACACTGGACCTTTAGGTTCAGAGCCCCCCGGAGACACAGAAGACCACCTGCTCCTGCGGACCCTGTCCTCCACCAGCGTCAGCCCTGTTGACTATGAGTACTTTGATGTCGGAATCGGGCAGGTAAAACAAAAGCTCTTGAGAATAGCGTAAAAGTTGTTTTTTACTGTGCGTCTGAGACGTTATAGATGTATTTTCCAAAAAAATCAGTCTGGCAGTTCTTAGGCAATTCTAAAATTTCCAGATTTATCATGGGGTTTCAGAGAACTGTGCTTTTACTGAATTTAGCCTTCTGCACCACAGAAGAGAAACTTTTCCTTAATAGTGGGATGCAGTAGGCCCCTGCAGATAATTCCACATTCTGTTCATGAGGTCATTTCCGATGTGTAGCTGATGATGCTGTGGACTTTTCCTGGCTTCAGTCAACCTGAGGAGAGTATGACTTTGTCAACTGTGATTTTTTTTCTTACAAAAAAAAATCTCCAAGGAAATGCATTTTTTGCATTCTTTTTTTGCGTGCTTTTTCATATTTGGCTGAGGTGCCAGGACACTAACAGTCCTCCTGTTTTTGCCCCCTGCCTGCCTGCCTGGAGAACAGAATCAGGGGATTGGTACAGGCCAGGTTGGTGCAGTGTGTTGCAATGGGCTCTTTTTCTCCTCTGCATCTTTGGCCCCCACCCCTGCCTGCTTTGTATTAAAAGAAAGGCTCCTCATTACCGTTCCTCCTCATGGTGATCAGCCATCTTTATTTGTATTATTCCACTGTGTGTGATTATAGTAAGCGGAATTCATTATTTTATCCACCAACTTGCTTGTGCTGTGCCCACTCTTGGAAAGAGCTGGTCTTTCCTTCGGTCATTCTCTCATCCTAAGAATGTCTGTGGCATTTTGCACTGGAATGTAATCATGGAGTTTTGACTATTGCCTCCATTGTTACCATTGCCTTAAGTGATCAAAAATATTTGTCAAAAAGTAAAATGTCTTGAGAGGTGTAAAAACTGTTTTCTGCATAGAAAATGTTCTTGTTTCTATGTTATGAACTGTATCTATACTATTTAAACTGTAGTTACTTTACAATGTATACTTTTGCATTGCTGTCAAATTATACATATACATAAAAATATTTGAGTTCTTATTTACTAATCATGATTTTTTTGTCAGTGAACTGCCAAATTCCGATTGGAATTGCTAATTCTGTGTAATAGCTTTAATAGCGTAATAGCTTTTACATAAAACTGAAAATCTGATTTTGAACATGGGGATAGGAGTTAAAGATGTTTTGAAATGCTAGAATTACTTTTTACTTATTTTGAATTGGAGGTAGAGGGTACTGTTGTTAGCACTATATGTGGTACCTGCTCTTTTTAATAATGGAACAAGTAATAGTTTTATTCCATGCTGAAAAAAAGAAGAAAGGGAACACAACGTTTCGGCCGTGGAGCCTTCTTCAGGTGTGGGTGTGCTTTTTAATAATGTATCACACCAAGATTCTTACCAGAATGAGAACATTCTCCTGTATTTGTAGAAAATCTAGACTGAAGTTTCTTGCACAGATCACAGCAGTGGTCAGCGAACGTTTCACATTGGCGAATTCTGTCAAAGCACCTTTCTGTGTCCTAAGTCATGGAGCAATCCCCTGCCTTGGGTGTCATTCGCCATCACAAGGATGTTTTTTACATTTAAGCAATAAATTAAAAAAAAAAAATCCTCAGGAAGTGCCACACAGTTTTATTAGTCAGTGTGATCAAAAAAAGTTGGACCTGTTATAAAGTGACAGGAGTGCGAGTGAAAATGACAAGCTGTTTCATCTGAACTATTGATGTAGTTCCACTTGAAGAGTGTTTTAGTATAATACGGCAACTCAAGAGAATCCCATATGGTGGAGATCTTAAATATTACATCTGACTACTGACCTTGAACCCCTAGGTGTGTATCCGATACCCCCAGCTGACGTTCGAGCCACAGGCTTTCTTTGCCTTCGGGTCCCCCATCGGAATGTTCCTCACCGTTCGGGGTCTGAAGAGAATCGACCCCAACTACAGCTTTCCCACCTGCAAGAGCTTTTACAACATCTACCACCCGGTGAGCTCAGGGGGCATCAAGTCCACGGAGGGCAGCCAGCTCAGTCCCGCTGCCGTGATTTTATACATTACATCTGTATTTGTGTAACTAGCTATCAGGCATTTTTTCTGTCCAGTTTGGTAGTGTTTTTAATAATAATATTTCCTTACAATTATATAGTTCTTTTCTGGACACTTCATTTAAAGCACTTGACAGGTAATGGGAACCACCAATGTGCAGCCCCACCTGGATGATGCGATGGCAGCCATAGTGCACACAGTACGCTCCTCACACATCAGCCATCAGCGGGCAGGAAAGCAGAGTGATGAAGCCAGTTTAGAGATGGGGATTATTAGGAGACCATGATTGGTAAAGGTCAATTGGAAATTTGTCCAAGATGCTGGGATAACACGTTCTTTTCGAGAAACGCTCTGGGATTTTTACTGACCACAGAGCCTCAGGACCTCAGTTTTATGTCTCATCCAAAGGACGGCAACCTTTTTACAGTATAGTGTCCCCGTCACTATACTGGGGCATTAGGGCCCACACAGACCACAGGGTGAGCGCCTCCTGCTGGCCCCCTATCTAGGTCTCCCATCTAGGTACTGATCAGCCTCACACCTGCAGAGCTTCAGTGGGTTGTCAGGTGTGAGTTTCAGTGTTATATGGCTGCTGGCATGTTTTCAGCATGCGTTGTGCTGTTTCCAGCCCTTGAGTGTGTAAAAGCAAGATAGCTACTTTCGCTTGCTTTCATTTGTCTTTTTCCAAGCCACTTCTCCTGAATAGTCCCCTCTTCCATGGGTTAGAACTGAATTCCACCTTCACTACAGGAAAGTGTGTTTTGTATTGTGAAAGACAACAGGTGTTTTATGAGAGCAATTATTATGAGTTTCTTCAGAGAAGAGATATTCTCCAAACAGAGAAAAGATACAACGTTCATCTCCCAGAGGAGCGTCTCTGAGTGTAGACACACAAATCAGCTTGCATGGGAGTCTTTCAGGATGGAAATGTTTGAAATATCTAGAGACGTTCTGTGCCAGGGGTCTCAACCATTAGCATTATCATTATCATTATCATACCGTTTATTCCCTGAGGTAAAATAAATATTTCAGATATGTACATAAACATTGAGCATATACGTTGTGTATGCAACAGCACATTAACAAAATAGGACACCAATTGAGCGCATTCCAGTCCATTTCTCTTGCATAGTGTTTTAAGAATGTTAGCGCAAGTAAGTGATTGTCCTTCCTAAAATTTAGCTCCAAAATATTTGAGTCTGCTTATGATTTCTGTTCTTCCGATCTCCGTGAAGTTCGACCCAGTGGCCTACAGGATAGAGCCCATGATTGTCTCTGACGTGGAGATTGATCCCATGCTGATTCCCCACCACAAAGGCCGGAAGAGGATGCACCTTGGTTAGTAGCACTTCACACTCTTAGCCATCAGTGTTGTTCTTTTTCAGTCCCTTCGTCCTCTTTCTTGTTCACGAGCTACAACAGTAGCAGGATTTTATTTTTGGTTGGTGCCCTTATCAAAGATGTCATGCAAGATTTGGTTCTCAAAATAGAATGTGTTACATATGCAAGCAAGAAGCAGTCAGGTGGACAGTCATGAAATCACGGTCAGCTGTGTGAACGTACTACGTTGCAGAGTTTAAGATTGGTGTGATACAGGTGTTTTCAGAATGCATGATGCAGGAAAGGTGATTTAATGATATGCCAAAAGACAATACAGTGCATGTGTGCACTGAAATGTTTTTATCCACTGGTGAGTTGATAAGTCTATAAGGCATGGCAGCAAGACTAAGACTTGATTGTTTTTTCATGGTAACCTGAAACCCTGCAACTGTCAACAGAGCTGAAAGAGAGTCTAACTCGGATGAGCACGGACTTGAAGAACAACGTGCTGGGCTCTCTGAGAACAGCCTGGCAATCCTTCTCACGCTTCCCTACCCCTGCTCTGCCCCCGCTGGCTGATGGAGAAACTGCGCCTGGACCGCCTGCAGTAGAGACAGATGGTGAGCATCATTTTCTCCCTGTTTTTTTTTTTCAAAAGTCATTTTGTCTTACTGGAAGTGTGTTTGCTGCACAGTGCTGCAGAAATCACTGTGCTTTTCCAGACCCTTCCAGGCTTTCCATTTGAATGCATTCCTATAAAATGACTTCCATGTAACTGCTTTTCATTTACATTCAGGGTACTGTGTGGCTCACACTTCATCTATTCTGCAGACATTGAGTGCACTTTAAAACCATTTTCGAACAATAAAAAGGCATATAAAAAACAATTAATTTGTGTTCTTTTATTAGCCTCACAGATCCTTATGTAAGGTGTTAACTGGGAATTTCTGCAGAAGAACAACATCCCTCTTCTTTTCATACAGGAACTTTTATGTCCCCAAAGCCCAGGTCTAAAGCTGAAAATTAGTCCACAAGGTCTTCTGGAAAATAAGCAGACTACAGTAGGGTCATGGCATTCATGAAAGTTTTGTCCAGAGAACCATCACAAATAACCAGATTCGCAAGTAACCAAGTCCACCCCTATACCTTTGCATAATGTACTACAGTGTATGGTATGTACAGTACCATTAAAAGTCATAAAAGTATGTCACTTATATGGTAATTAAAGTACTAATACATTGGCTACTACTGTACTTTAAAATAAAGGCACCATGTCATCTTTGTATATTATTGAACAAGCCATTCTGGTTATTTTCTGTCTTAACTGACACCATAGTGTTGTCAGATAAATAAATAGGTCTTCCATCATTGTTGAGCTCCCAGGATTACAAGGTCCTTTGGATAAGCACCAGTGAGCTTTTCTTTTGGATTCACCATGATAATCACAGATTTTCTTTTTTGTGTGCCTGAAACATTTCTGCTTTCAATTTGAAGGCTTACTTTGTTTTTTTTTTACTTATCCTAAATACTGCTCCTGTAATATAAGGAGAAAGCAGATGAATGGGATGCCCTGTGTATGACCGTTTCTGACGGTTTCTTTCCTTGCTTATAATCTTTGCATGGAGTTGTCTGTGCAATGTGCTGGACTGATATGGTGATTTTCTTCTGTGATGCAGCTGAAAGGGATAGCAGGAAAAAGTGTAAGCCTGACTTTTGGAAAGGTGTACTGGAATGGCCAAAAATAATCAAATTTAATTACTTCCAAGGTAAGGCAAGTAACCAGTGAGGTAATGTGTGAGACAGTAACAGTGCTGTAATGTTGCTCCTTATCCTCCAGAACATGTGCCCATTCAAAAAAAAACTTTATTTAAGAAAATATGATTTGGTTAGAGAGAAAATCATTTTATCAGGGGATGAGAGTGCTGTTCTTGAGTTTGCTCTCCAAATTTGCAAAAACAAACAAAAACTAATGTATTAGGAATATGTGGTAAAACAAAAAGTTGCCACCATCATATATATTTGTCACTTTCTGTAAATGTACGTTTACTGTACATGGGCCTTATAGATAAAACTAAAATGATGAGAAATGACACCATTGTTCCTACAATACAAAATTGTATTGGGTGTACTGTTATTTGAGTATTTTTATTAACTTCATATCTGAGTAAATCCCTTGTTTTTTTTAATATCATCCCTTATTAAGCTTTTAAAATCCTTAAATAAAGTGCAATCCCAACTTTGTGAACTTTATTCTGCTATCATTTATCAGCAGAGATTTCTTTCATCTGGTCATTTTGGCTGCTATTATTTTTTCTTCCTCTTCCTCTTATTTTATTCCTCACACACCATTATTACCACTGCGGCCAGCACTGTTTCATCTTGTTTCCCCACATGGTAGACGTTTGGCTTCTTATATTCGTGTAATATAGGGAAAAAGATGCCTGTTTTTTCTTATAGTTCTTCTTTGAGCCAGAACAAAAGCTTTTCAGTTATTTTGGTGAAAAAGACTTGTTTCGCCTTGTTTGTGATCTGCTTTGACACCAGCAGTCTGGCCTCTCCTTACTACCTGTGAGTGTGCTCCGTGCTTCCACATTGCAGCTTTGCTTGAAGTGCAGCATGCTAAAGGCTAGTTTCTGTCCTATTCCTTCAGTGACTCGTGCTTTCCCTGGTGTACTCTTCTACATGCAGAATCTTCTGAAGTAGGCAAATGTGAAAACAACATATTATTGCTCTCCTACTCTCTGTATACTGGCTTCTGATATATATACTGGTTCCTTTGGCAAGGAACCTCAGTCTGAATCTCCGTCTGTATTTCTCAATGGCAGCAATAACAGTTAGTCCTTTTATTGAGACCATACTTCATTGTTTTCTGAAGGAAATAATCTAATTAATAACATCTGTAGATTTTTAAAGCTTTTCTGAGAGGAATTACTGGCAGTTCTTATTGACTAAAAAGCATTGCATGTAAAAATAATGACAGAGGTTACTTCTAGTAATTGAATAATGAAAACAAGCAGTACCACAAACTCATAATGAATATTTACCTTCACTGCATCGTGATATTTATTGTCTCATCTATGTTATTGATGAGTATTTGAAATGTGTAAAGCTTTTTATACCAGTATAAAAATGACTCACTTTGGTGAGTCAGCTTCACATGATTAGCTGAGGAATTGATTAGCCATATTAAATGGACAGTTGATTGCTACAAAAAATACTGAAACTTTCAAAATGGCTTTCGAGAATAAATAATGGTTTCATCCTGAAAGGTTTTTGTTCACTAGTGTGAGATGAAGTGTGATGTGAGATGGACGCCTGGTAAGAAGGGGCAGAAATTCATTTCCATGGCCCGAGGAACTGACCTGTTGTCTGAATCCATGCAGGGGCCAAACTAGAGGAGGCTGAACCGCAGCCAAAGGAGGTGGACAAAGAGGAGGAAGAGGAGAACGTTAGTATTGGGATGCTGAATGGGGGGCGACGGATCGACTACGTTCTCCAGGAGAAGCCCATCGAGAGCTTCAATGAATATTTGTTTGCACTCCAGAGTCACCTTTGCTACTGGTAAGTGTGGGACAGAAACACCAACAGCCTAGTTAAGATGGGCTGCGCTGTGGTCGTGTATGTGGAATATACCTTGAGCAACATCTGTCTGGAAGTTTCTGGTCCATCAGTTAGGTTTAAATAAGACTTTCCTGGACAGTGATTGGAAATGCTTTAAAAAGTAGTATTCGTAATACTTTAACTTCGGTTGTGTTAGTAACAATGTTTGCCAGTATATTCAAATTCTGATGAAAACGTGAATTTAATTTGGATTGTGTTTGCTGCAAAACAACTTTGAACTTTATGATCCTTTTAAAAATTATACTGGAAATATTAGCATAAAGGAACATTTTATTTCTATTTAACTATATTCCCAGTATCTTAAGCATAGCAGAAATCTAACCGCAAGCAAGAAATGAGAAAGCCAAAGTTATTGTGTCTACCGTACTCTAAAAGGAGAGAGGCATGATTTTTAAAAAGCTATAAAGTCACTGATAACTTCAAATTATTTTCAAATTACATGGAACACTGGAGTCTGTCAAAACATCTTAATGTGTTTTTTTCCTGTGTGGTGTACTTCGCAAAAAAAATGCAGTGGCGCCAGACATATTTCTGTGTTTTGAAATCAGCACTGTATATATTTTGGGGTTTCAGGAGGTCAGGGTTAAGGCCTATAGGCCCCACACATGAAGAGAAGGAACAGCTAACTCTCCATACATCCCATACATGATACTGTACTGTGGTAGAGTATTTTGGTGCAGCTTGTTTCTGTTTGAAATGGGCATATTCCACTGACCTATTTATCAATCGTAACCCTTGCAGTGACCTGAAATACGTCCGCGTGCTTTAATGAAGGTGTCTGTTTAATTAAGTGCACGTACAGTAGCATCACTCACAATCAAGTGAGAAATGTCTCCATCCAATCGTTGATAAGTCTTGTTAATGGAGACTTATTTGTGGGCATGTGGTGGAGTGACTTTTCGCTCAGTCACAAGAACACTTGCAGTAATGCAGGCTGACATCTTGAAAGCAAATGTAGTGGATGTGTTTAAAAACTTACCAGCACATGAGTAATGAAAACAACAAGATTCTGCTACTTACTGTAACTGCCCAGACTAGACAGACAAAAGGGGACCAGTTCATTTTTGTTGCTTATCTTGCAGTTATCTTGCCAGTGTGTGTAAATATTTTGAGGGCTCTTGCAATAATAAAGGCCCAGAACAGTATCTCATTTCTTCCCTCATTGTCTTCTAGGGAGTCTGAAGACACAGCTCTACTGGTCCTGAAGGAGATTTATGAGAAACTCGGAATCACCCTAGAACAACCACAACAGTAGACCTTGAAATACTCAATAACAGCCCGTTGCAACAAACATTTTCCTTGTTCATATCCATTTTGGTTTTATTTATAGAACCTTTCTAAATCGTCATTTTGGGGGTTGAGGTGATACCTATTGATTTATATAGAGCATTTGATGGACTTTGATATTAATGGCTTATGATCATTTCAGTGACTTTGTACATTTGCGTTGCAAAAATGATGCAGACCCCTGACATGCCATGTTTTTTAAACTGCAGGTATGTTTCATTATTGCATGTAAGCTTTGTTATTTTGTTGCATTATGTTGAACTTCACCAAAGGTGAAATTAAGTCCTGTTTTCTCTGTATTGGGGTCCAGTTAAAGAAGATCTTTAAGGCAGAGCATGTCAGTCACATAAACTACCTTTGTCTCTCTTTCTGCTGAAGTGGACTTGTGCATGCTAGTGATTAGACTGCCAAAAACTACACTACCTGCCATTCCAGCGCACTTCTGATGCTGTATATCTCACTCCTGTGTCCAAGGTTTGAGACTAAAAGAATAGTTAAGATACCTTCTTGGGTTAGATGGTGCTTTCAGACTCGGAAGACTTGCAAAGAAATACACATCTGTTCCCTTTTTTTGAATCTGAAAAGTATAAAAGTATAACAGCCATCACACAATTCTTCAGTTTTACTTCTTGCATTTGTATGTAAGTTCATGTTTGTAAGAAGAAAACAGCATCCACCTCACACAGCTTTTTAAACTCAGTTCATCAAAACAAATAGGACATCTTGCAAAGCACGTTGGTCTCTTTAATGTGCTTTCAAAAAAAGGAGGCAGCATTTAAGGTGGCAAGTTTTCCAAAAGTTTCTAAAAGTCTGCAGGACCTTCTTTGAGTTGAGCTTTTTGGGGGGTCATACTTAATTGTGCAATATGTGGATTTTATGAACGCGTGGTTCAAGCCATGTCTCATTATAGCAACACTAGAATTCTAATTGGTTCAGCAATTCAGTACTTAAGAAAACATCCAAAAATTGAAAAAACACAGTTGTAGTTTCATGGAGGAAGGCTTTAATTTTTCTCCATTACGATAAAATTGATAATTGATAAAATTATCATTTGATAAAATTGATAACATTTTAGTCTTTCTTCGATGCATTAATGTGTGACACATGACATTTCTCATTGAGCTTGCTGAACTGGAATATGCAGATGTAGAAATGCTTGTATATTCTATTAATCTGTTCCAGTTATTTTTCAAGTTCTTTAATGATGGTGTTTCATTCATTGCCTCTGGGTTGATGGCTTGTGACTGATGATACGTTTTCCCGTGCTGTTAATACCTCATGTGAAAGTTTCCCTTGTGAATGTCCAGGCTCTGGTCATCCACAGGACGCTGTAGGTTTTCGTTTTGTCCAGGGTTTCAAGAAATGTCCCAGTTATTGGGTATAATTGATCAAATGTACAGTACTTTTTGCTCCACATATTTATTAATTTAGTAATCCTGCAGAGCTGTAGTCCAGTTGTGGTCACCCAAAATGATTCCCAAAATTGGAAGATTTGTAAGATATCAATCTAAGCAAGTAATTTGTTTAATTGTGGTACTACAGTGTGTTAAGATTTTTATTCTAAAATATCTGTACATTACTTAATTTAACAAACCAGGTTAATTGATTAATTAACCTCAACTAAAATGTTTAGAGTCTTTAGAAATTTATGATTTAAGTTTTAACCTGGACCTGGTTTGGAGATGACAGATTTAGGGTGACCTACTGTACATACTGTAACAGCAGGGGATACCATTTTGAGAACTGCATTGCATATTCCCTAAAATAAATTTCCTCCCCTAAACTAGAATATCCTGTATTTTCTTCACATCTTCCCTTCAGAACATAAGAAAGGTTAGAAACAAGAGGAGGCCGTCCATCCCATATACTGTAGCCCCTTTGGTAGTTTGGTATTAAGTGATCCAAGCGCATCTTTGGCTTCAGTCTTAGATGGTGATCACTTGAATTCAAAATGAAATTCTTGTTAGAATTTCACCTTTTGCTTTGTTTATCTCTGATCAGTTTTTCCAAGATGGCCTGCTCACTACTTCTTGTGTTCGTCCAGTCTCTGGTTCAGTCTGGCACTATGGAATAAACACCAGTGTCACCTAGGTCCATTGGGAATGTGAACGGAACTTTGTAACCAAAGTGGGAAAGATGAACTGATTTAGGAACGAGTAAAGGCTTATTCCGTGCTGAAAAGAGACGCAACGTTTCAGCTGTGGAGCCTTCTTCAGGTTCTTTACTTGTCTCTTTGCAGCTAACGCATACTGACACACCTGCCTACTTGAACCACATATTCAGCTTTTTTCCTTCTTGCATACAAATCAAATGAAGTAGACTTGCCTTGTTCTTTTACCCTATCAAAGTCTTGCCACTTGTTAAAGAACAAGGAAGATGATGGAGGAGTGAAGCTATGTTCAGTTTGCACTTTATTGCATATTGTATTTAAACCAAATGTTTTTTTTCTTTTTTAAAAGCCTATATTATATGTTTACGTAAGTTATGTTTGCCATAATAAAACTATTGTTGAATGGATATTCCCTTGTATTGTTTTAATGGTGTAGTGGTCTGTTGAGCTTGTTAATATACTCTACAAGGAGAAAAGTTTTTTTTTTTTAATCTGTGTTTCTGACAGGCAGATGAGCCACAAATTAGAGACTGACATGTAAATGTCGTGGGTCTTTTGACAAGGGGTCCCCCACCCTCCTCCCACTCTGGTTCCAGTTGGGCTCTGAAATACTAATTAAATAATTAAAGTTACTTGACTGGTAAGTTTGCATTTGTTTTGTTCAGAAGTTGGAGATCTTCAGTTGCTTATGAAAATGCAATACCAACCTCCAATATATTTAGGAACTTACAACAGCTAATTAATTTAATTTACTTAAAGATTAAAAATCTTTACGAAGGTTTAAAATCTTTTAAATTAATCCTATTAGGGTTTAATAATGTAACTGAGAGCTCAGCTGGAAAACCACCAGATGTGAAGAGTCCCATGATGATGGCTGAGGACCCCCATATTCGCCAGCAACAATAAATTCTGCTAATTGCAATGTGCAGCGTTGGGTAAAAAGTGTTGCATTGCAGCGCACTGTAAATTATACAAGTGTGAGTTGATGCCAGCCGTTTGTCCATTGTGTTGCATCTGTAGGGAGAATTGAGTGATTACGATTGAAGTTAGAGATTTACCGCAGACTTTTGTTATATCCATATGAACACTTCTTCATTTAAACAATAGCATACTGTACAGTATACCCACGTGGCATTTGGCAAGTTTGTTCAGGTTCTTTTAAAGCTTTTACTTTACAGTAGTTTATGCGTTGAAGACTAACCAGAACTACTTTGTTAACGGTTTCACCTCTTTCTTCAGTGACCTATCATTTAAATTTGATACACAGTATCTTTAAACTATTTTAAGTATAATGTTAGCGGTATTGTAAGATAAGCAAAGAAGCAATCAGTATTCCTTAAGTTTACAGACTTAAATCAGCTATTTTTCCCCCACAAATACCTGTAACAAAATACTGTCATGATAACTGTACGTAAATTATATAAAGATATAATAAGATGCAGCACCGTTTGACTGCTTTCTATTATAGGGCAGGCCGAGTGAATTGCTTTGGCTTGGTCTTCCAAAGCATTTTGACTGGTGTTTATGCGTAAAGTGTTTATTTTTTTTAATAATGAAGCCGAGCCACATGTTTTCTGTAATTATGTCGATCCGTACGCTACTTAAAATAATCATTTAAAAGCGGCTGCTATATTTTCACGCGTAACCCGTAGCTTGCATTGCCCCAGGGGCATTAATTCATTTCCTTTATGCGCTATTGGAAGAAGCCAAATATTACAAAACATCCTTTTCCTCTGCATGGTAGAAGCCAGAAAATCCCTCTCGCAGCCCTCCCTTCCTTTTCCCGACAATTCCAGTCTTGCATAAGGAAGTATGCTTAGTCCAAAGAGGGAAAAGGGGCTAGGTATCTTTCATTCCTCAGGTTTTAGACATTCATATATCTGTTTCATGTCTTTGTATTTTATCGAAAATGTGATTACTTTTGGTGCCAATATTTGATTTCCTAATATTTTCCAAACTTGAGCGTTGTTTTGAAAGGTGTACAGGTGGAATGGAAGGTGGGAACTTGTTAAGAGGTATGTGTTGTTTTGTAAATACTTTTAACGATAAAAGAAAGTTTTACAAACCATTATATTTATTTCTTGAAGGGTGTTTGGTAGTTCATGCTTTGGTTTCCTTTTGACCTTGTTAGTCTGTAGTCCAATTTTAATGTTTCGCTCAGAAACTCTGTAACAACCCCGGAGACATTGCATAACCTTATTCGTGAAATTAGCTCATAAGATATTTCACGTTATTACACTTTCAGTGGGACGAAAACCTGTTTCAGCTAAAATGACTAAATGCTCAATTAAATGACTGAACAGCGATAAAAAGAAATGTCGTATTTTCGTAGACATTTTCAATGCTAACATTGAATTTAGAGCTTTTAATTCCCGATTGAATTTTGACAAAGTACACCATAAGACGTAACTTATAGTTTTTATAACCTTTATAGAAATGATATTCCTATATAGCATTTGTAATGACAGTTGTTTTCCAAAGTGTTACGCAATAGTAAACGTCAAGTTTCAATTCACATTAAAACTTTTTAAATCGTGAAAAGTTTTTTAAATGGTGTTTGTGGCTCGTAATATGCAAAAGAAGTCTGGAGAAGGTGTAGTGTAGGTGTAGTTTTTTTTATATTCGTGGGAAGGATAGCAAAGATTTATGGTGATTTTTTTTAAAACGAAAACTACGTGTGTTCAGAAATATTTGGGAAATTAGCCCGTGTAATTCTCCTGAACAATGGAAGAGCCAGTTGCTAAGGACAACCGTGATAAACATCATCTGAGGTCTGCACGAGAAAACTGTGGTTTCCTACCAGAAGTGCCAAGTTTAAATACCGCGGCGCTACTGGAAATCTCTCTGAACTGTTGTCTCACATCTGGGCGGCTTTTTGGTGAGTCCTATAATTAAACACCACGTCAGGTTAAGGAGTTCCTCGCTTCCAGAGATTCCAAATGTTTACTTCAGAAATACTTGTAGATATATGATTACAACGTCAGGATGTGGAAGCTTATGCACGTTGTACTGAGGAGATTGAGACCCTTAAGCTATAAAAGTGCAATTAAAGGTGCTGCATTTTGTAGTTTTCTTTTAATTCAACTGAAGGAAAAACCGGGAACCTCTTACTTAGAATTAAGTAGAACTAACAGTGGGAACGGTTACACATACTGTACCTTCCTTTTACTGCTTCCACACATCTACATATGGAACTGTAATGCTTCTTATGAGCAACAATATCACACTAATGTTCATTTAGTATATCTAATTTCCTCTATGATTTGCCTGTACAGAAAACGAGAAAAAAAAACTTTTATCCGAAAGCTATTTTTTTAATGATGTGATCTACAGTACATCATGTCTAATACTTCTATAACAATACACATTCAAATAGCACAATATTTTCTGGTGTGGAACAGACAGCAAGGGTGTGGGAGAAGGCTGCTGTCAGGAGGGTAGAGCTGATAAGCAATTGTTGTTGTAAGAAGGTTCAGATTATCAGTGTCCCTCAGGGTGTGTGGGGAAAAGCAGTTGCCTTTAAAAACTCATTTGTCACTGCTGTTGTTAGAAGTAGACTGTAATGGAGCATTGCTATACCTGACGTATAGTGCTAATTGGATACCCTCTTAATTTCCATATGGATTTAGCAGCTTAGCAACTGCTGCTTTCCACAAAGGGCTAAGAGCAACTTGCCCAGCCAAGCAGTTGAAACCAATTTAAAAAAAAAATACTTCAATGTGTTAAAGAAATCAGGTAAATGCTGAGGGTCAAAGCAAAACAAAATTGGACCAAATGGACCACTCCTTGTTTGTAACCTTTGTCTTGTTATTCAGGTGGAGAGCTGCGTCAGCATGCGTAGGCTGCAAAGTAACAAGTAATAGGTTTATTCCATGCTGAAAAAAAGAAGAAAGAGAACACAACGTTTCGGCCGTGGAGGCTGAAGAAGGCTTCTTAGTGACCCCAGATCCCTTTTAAAATGGTTTATTGAAGGCTGCTAGTGCACTATCTCAACTGGTTGGTATGGCAGTTTGTGAAGCCAAGAGCATGATGTGTGTAATGTGAGGGAATATGAAACTCCCTGTGATTTTTGGCGTTTTTGTTTTTTTTTCTTCATGCTTAAAATGTGGTGCCTACTTAAAACAGCACCAGGCTGAGCGCTCCACATCACAGAAGTATCTGATCGTGGTTTAGTTTAGTGTTTCGAAAAGGGTGGAGGACCAAGGAAAACAGATCTTTTTACATAGCATTCTTTGACACAGCTCATCGGCACAAGGCTTTGAGTCACGGCAAGAGATTTCAGCTCTGACATACACGTAGTTAATGGAGGGTGGTGGACCAGAGTTTATGTGTGTTCGTTCAACCTTGTATGATTTTCCACACAACTGTAATTATAGCCGTCTGGAGCTTGACTGCTAGTCTTCCCCCTATAGAGCGTGAAGTTTGTTGTGCCTCTTTTATGAGCGATCTTAACTGTAGGAAACAGCTGTTTGGCTTACAGAAGATCAGTTCCTTTGATACCCGGTGAGTGACGTTCTTTTTTTTTCTCTTGTACTTACGTTACAGACTTTCTAGGTTTTGCTGTGCTTTCATTTCTCCTAACCTAGTTGATTCAAGAGCTTTTTAGAGAATGTTTTTTTTTTGTTTCCACTATGGATGTTGTCTTGTCAAACAAAGTAAGGAAACCGTTCCAAAACTGAGCAGGAATGGAAAACTGTTTAACAGAAGAGAGACATTTCAGCTCTGAAGTGTTGATGGGATTGATTTACTTTATAATATACTGTATTCAGTCTGCAAGGATTAATGAAAGGTACTCGAAAACTGTATTTGGACAGTATTAGCTTTGCCTTTCACTTGTTTGAAAAATGTGTTGAAAAGTGCTGAAAAGGTTTGATTTGTTCTAGATTAGTATGGACAGTGCTTGGCAATGGTATTCGGAGCTTCCATATGTAGTAATGTCCCAATTTGTGAAATTACATTATGATGCACGCACATTTTTTACTTTTAATATATTTTATTCCAGATCTACTGTAAATGCTGAAACGCAAGATTTCTAAGAGTAAGATAAATTACAGTAAATGCCCACAAAAAACTAAAGACAAAAACTGAAATTTGTTGATTGTTTATGTACTCAGACTCTTGAACTTAAAATTTGATGGAGGCAGTTTTGGCAGCAGTAGCATCCAAAAATCTTTTTGGGTAGGTCTCTACCAGTTTTGATTTCCACCCTGGTGCAATGTTTGGGTATTTTGCTTGGCAGTTTTGTGCAAGCTCTCTCAAATGATGGGCAGCAGTTTTACATTTTTCCACAGATTCTCAATAGGAGATGGGATTCAAGTCACTGAAGTTTAGATTTCAGTGTAGGTCCTTCTCCTGCTGAATGTTTGTACCAATGTTGCAGTAGGTCTTTAGCAAACTGAAACAGGTT